AAACTAAAAGGGCTGGGCAAGTAGGGCAATGGTAGAGCACCCGTGGGTTCCATCCCCAGAACAATAAAGATATGGATCTGGGAGTAAGGGCTTTTGTCTTTCATTTTTTTTTTTTTTTTTTTCCTGTTTTGTTCTTGTTTGTTTTTTACTGGGAATCGAACTCAAGACTTTGCACTTGCCAGGCTGGAGCTGTGCCACTGAGCTATGTCCCCAGCCCTGCCTTCAGTTTTCCACTTCTCCCTTGCCTGAATTGCAAGGTAGTAGAATTCAGGCCTTTACTCCTGTCCCTCATCACACACTGAGGAGACAAAAATAGTAGATGCTGTGATTTTTTTCTGTAACTTCTTGGCTCTGACATCCCCTAGGGTTCCATGCTCCATAATCTCAGGATGGTCCCAATTAAAAGTGGCAGAGTGCTGGGTGACGTGGTACATACTTGTAATCCTTGGGATGCTGAGGGAGGAGAATCACAAGTCTGAGCCCAGTCAGGTAACTTAGTGACTCAGGGAGATCCTGTCGCCAATAAAATAAAGTGTGTGTCGGGGGGCAGGGATGTAAGGGATATAGTTTTGTGAGAAGGCCCTGCGTTCAATCTCCAGTACTGCCAAGAACCAAACCAAAACAAAAGTGGCACAGCAAACTGTGTTCTCTTCCTCAAACAGTTCAGGGCCCACACTCCCGTTCTGACCAGCTTCCTGCACACATCAGTTTCTCAGGGCCTTCCACGGGGCAGTAAAACAGGGTCCAGAGCTACTCTAGTGGGCACACCCTAATTTCTTGCATACCGTGTAACGGTTAACCTTAGCTGTCAGCTTGACTGGCCTGGGAGCTACTTAGAGGATTAATAAAGCAAGCTTCTGTGGGTGAGCGGTTGGGGCACAGAGTCATGGTCTTGGCATCTGTATCTGGCCCCTGGCCCCTTCCTCTTGGACACTGACTGTGCCCAAGAGCTCTTCTTCCCAGCCACCATGAGCTAAGCAGCTTTGTTCTGCTGCTCCCTCTCCCACGTTTCTACCTTATAGCCTGCTGACCCTGGACTGGATCCTCCGAAGCCATAAGCCAAATAAACCATTTCCCCTTTAAACTGTGGGTGATTCCTTTCACAATAGCATCCAAAAAATGAAATACCTAGGAACCAATCTAACAAAGGAAGTAAAAAACCTTTACATTGAAAACTACAGCACTCTGAAGAGGATATCAAAAAGTAGAAAGAAATCTCTTGTTCTTGGGTAAGAAAAACCAATATAGCCAGGCATGGTGGCTCACGCCTGTAATCCCAGCACTTGGGAGGCTGAGGCAGGAGGATCATTGTAAGTTCGAGGCCAGTTTCGGCTACAAAGTGAGTTCAAGGCCAGCCTGAAATGCATAATGAAACACTGTCTCAAAAAGACAAAAAAAAAAAGGAAGAACCAATATAGTGAAAATGGCCATACTTCCAAAATTATTATACACATTTAATGCAATCCTGATCAAAATACAATAGCATATCTCACTGGTTACAGAAAACAATTCTAAAATTCATATGGAACCAAAAGAGACCTAGAATACCAAAAGCGGGGCTGGGGATTTAGCTCAGCGGCAAAGCGCCTGCCTGGCAAGCGCAAGGTCGGGAGTTCGGTTCCTGGTACCGGAGAAAAACCAAAAACAAACAAACAAACAAAAAAAAAATAGAATACCAAAAGCAATTCTGGGCAACAAAGGCAAGGCAGGGGACATCAAAATCTCTGACTTGAAATGATACTATAGAACTACTGTTATAAAAACAGCAAGGTATTGGCAAAGAAACAAAACAAAACAAAATGAAAAAACCAAACATACGATCAATAGAATAGATCAGAAGATGCAGAAACAACTCCAAACACACTCAGCCACCTTATCTTTGACAAAGGAGCCAAACACATTCACTGGAAGAAAGATAGTCTCTTTAATAAACGGTGCTGGAAACACTGGCTTTTCACATGCCAAAGATTAAAACTAGATCCATATCTTTCACCATGCACTAAACTAAAATCAAAATAGACCAAAGATCTAAATATTAAAAGAGAAGTACTAAATCTGTTGGAAGACTAGGTAGATCTCTTGAAGACATTGGTGTAGGCAAAAACTTTATGAACAAAACAGGAAATATCACAAAGAATCAAAAAGACTGGGATGCCATCTTATTAAAAAGGCTTTGTGGGCCGGGGATATAGCTCAACGGCACAGTGCCAGCCCGGCAAGTGAGAGGTTGTGAGTTCAATTCCCGGTACTAAAAAAAATAAAAATTAAAATTAAAAAATTAAAAAGCTTTTGCACAGCAAAAGAAACCACCAATAGTGTGAAAAGATAACCCCCAGTGGGAGAAAAAAAAAATTGCTAGCCATTCCTCAGACAAAGGACTAATATCTAGAATATAAAAAAACAAACAAATTTGACCCCCAAATTTAAAAATTCAACCCAAAAATGGGTACCTGAAATGAATAGATACTTGTTGCATGAAGAAGTAGGAACAGCAAATAAATATATGAAAAAATATTCAACATCACTGTCATTTGAGAGATGCCAAATTAAAACAATGCTGAGATTCTACGTCACCCCAGATAGAAAGGCTATTGTCAAGAAATCAACCAATAACAAATGCTGGTGGTTGGCCGGGCGTGGTGGCACACACCTGTAATCCCAGCACCCGGGAGGCTGAGGCAGGAGGATCATTGTAAGTTCGAGGTCAGTTTCGGCTACAAAGTGAGTTCAAGGCCAGCCTGAACTGTGTAGAGAGACCCTATCTCAAAAAAGAAACGAAACAAAACAAATGCTGGTGGGGCTGTGAGGAAAAAAGGAACCCTTTTCCACTGTTGGTGGGAGTATAGACCGGTGCAACCACTGTGGAAATCAGTGCGGAGATTCCTCAAAAAACTAGGAATTGACAGGCTGGGCGTGGTACACATGCCTATAATCCTAGCACTCGGGAGGCTGAGGCAGGAGATATCTGGAAGTTCGAGACCAACCTGGGCTACAAAGTGAGCTCAAGGCCAGCCTGAACTGCCTAGTGAGACCCTGTCTCAATAAGACAAAAACAAAAATAAAAACAACTAGGAATTGAGTCAGCTTTCCCCTTCTTTATCTTCCTGAAAGAATTAAAAGCATCATACCACAGCAATACACACACACCCATGTTTACAGCAGCACAGTTCGTAATAGCCAAATCTTGGCAAAAGCCCAGATGCCCATCAACCGATGAATGGATAAAGATGTAGTTTTTTATAAGTGTTTTTCTATATAATGGAGTACCACTCTACCATAAAGAAGGATAAGCTTGAGACATTTCTAGCTAAATGGGTGGACCCTGAAACCAGACTCTTGAGTGAAATAAATCAGACACACGTGTAAATACCACATTATTTCTCTGGTGTGAGAAACGAAATATAAATAAGGACCAAAATATATAATATATATTGGCAAATGGGAAGAAAATGTGCTAATGAGAAAGGGAACTAGGGAGGGAGGAGGGGGAAAGGAAGAAAGAGACAAGAAAAAAAAGAGAATAGAAGAAAAAAATGGAAACCAAGCTTTTGTAAATAAGGAGGGAAAAGCTGGACATGGTAGTGCACACCTGTAATCCCAGTGCTCAGGAGGCTGAGGCAGGAGGATCGTTGCAAGTTCAAGATCAGAAAAAAAAAAAAAAAGTTCAAGATCAGCCTGGGCTACAAAGTGAGCTCAAGGCCAGCCTGAACTGCATAGTTCAAAAGAAAAGAATGTCTCAAAATAAATAAATAAATAAATAAATAAATAAGAAGGGAAGGAGGGGCTAATGGGAGGGGAGGGGAATGGGAAAAAAAGACGCAGCAAGATATATCATGTACAGGTACAAATTCCCTATGATGAATGTTATTGCTATGTATATCTAAAATGTACCAATAAAAAAAGTAAGTTGTGAGTGGCAGGCTTTTGGTCCCAGCAACAGGAAAGCTGACCAATACATACCACAAATTGCCTCTTGTATTTGTAAAGGACTTTATTCTCTGTGTCTCACACTGAAGTCAACTCTTTGTGTATACTGTTCTCAGTAGCTCACTCTCACCTCCCACTTACAAACCTCAACTCTGTCACACATTTTTTTCTTCTGTTGGGATGGGGTCTCACTATGTTGTGTAGGCTAACTTTCAACTCCTGGGCTGAAGCAATCTTTTTGCCTCAGCCCCCACCCCCAGGAGTTAGAACAATAGGTGTGCACCACCAAGCCTATCGTGTGTGTGTGTGTGTGTGTGTGTGTGTGTGTGCGTGCGCGCGCGCATATGTTCAATATAATGCCTAGAATAATAAAGGCTATGAAGACTGTGGATACTTACAAGTCCCTGCTGAACTTCCCAATTTGAATAAGTTCTCACCAGGCACACTTGTAATCCCAGCACTCAGGAGGCTGAGGCAGGAAGATTACAAATTCAAACTCAATCTGGGCCATTCAGAGACTTAGCAAGATTCTGTCTCAAAATTAAAAGTAAAAAAGTGGCTGGGAATGTAACTCAGTGCCAATGTCCTCAGGATATAACTCAGTGCAAAGATCCTGGTTCATTCTCCAATACCCCCTCACACACACAATAATAATAAGGAGGAGGAGGAGGAGGAAGAGGAGGAGGAGAAGAGAGGAGGAGGAAAAGAAAAAAATTTTAAATGGCCAGTTGTAGTGGTCCACACCTGTAATCCCAGCAGTTGGGAGGCTGAGACAGGAGGATTGCCACAAGTTTAAGACCAGCTTGTACTACATAGTGAGTTCAAGGCCAGCCTGAAATACATATCAAGACCCTGTCTCAAAAAAAAAAAAAAAAAAAAAAAATGGGCTTGGGGATATAGCTCAAGGGCTAAGCGCCTGCCTGGGAAGCACAAAGTCCTGAGTTCAAATCCTGACACACACACCCCCAATAGTAATAAGGGATGGAGATGCAGCTCAGTGCAAAGGCTCTGTGTTCAATCCTCCATTCCTAAAACAAAAAACAAAATCCTCCTATCTGATAAAAATCCAAAGAACTCACTTCTTCCATAAGCAGTGACTTACCGTGCGTAGTCCTGGGGGGAGATCAGAAACTTCTCTTTCATCTGGGCCTCGGCCTTGTTCTCCCACCAGAATTTGTTGGTTGCTTTCTTGTGCTCTGGGCTGAGAAGGGAGAGGATACAGACTATATAGCAATACTCAGGTACCTAAGCATTGGAGAGGTGATGCAAAATAACATCTGGAGTCCTAACTCGGGCAAGGCAGACAGAGGAATCCTAACTATTACTCATCTCTTCACGATCTCGTGTCCCTTCTTCCAAAACACGAAGTGGGGTGATGGGCGGTGAGCGAGCTCGATTTCGTAGCTAGAACGCCCACAACCCTGAGACCGCGGCAGCCGCAAGACCCCTACCCTCAAGGTTGTCAATGCCGGCAACGTGATGCAATCCATATATGCTGATCAAATCACAAGCGTCCTTCCCCTCCCCCGCCCCAATCCGTCCCTCCTACACAGGTCTGCATCTGTGCCGGGGAGAGGGTGAGGGGCTGTCACCTGGCCAGGTGCTCCAGCAGCGCCCCGTGCAGCACCGTCAGGTTCCCGTGGCTCAGGTGCTTCCGCACCTCGCAGCTGCAGCACAGGCACCAGCAGCACCGCTCGTGCTCGGGCACGTAACGCTCCACCTGCGCGGCGCGGACGGCCTTGCGGGCGGCCTCCACCTGCGGGAGAGAGGCCGGGCAGGATCGGCGCGCGGGGCTGGGCGGAAAACCCCAGTCCCTCGGGCCCTCCGGACACCGCTCCCATCCCCGGCCTCTCCTGCCTCGCGTCCGTACTTGGGGCAGAAACCGCTCCAAAGCTGCCTTCAGCTGCCGCTGGTGTTTGCGGCTGTAGACGTGTCCGCGACCACAGAAGAAGGTCTGGCGGCACAGAGGACAGCGCTGCGGCGGTGCCATAGCGCCGGGACCTCGGACGCCCGCCACTTGTAGCAGATCTTTCCCCATCCGCTGACCCTTGACCCCGGAGGCGGGGCGAATCCAGGGGCTCCTGAGGCTCCTAGTGGCCGGTAGGCGCCGCTGCAATACGTTCTGCGCCTGCGCAGATTATTCACAGACTCCACCTACTCCTCACTCCTTCACAGGATGACCCCGCAGATTCTGTATCCCAAGTGCTGTTACAGCAATCAAAGACCTAGCAGCACTGTGCAGGTGCGCGTGGGGCGTGGGAGAGTGCACGCCAGTTAGGAGCAGAGCACACACATCTCTGGCCATTGACAAAGTAATGAGTCCTGGTATTTACAGAGTGAGCACCGTATGTCCTCAGCGTTGCAGTGATGACCACACCGAATCCTTGCTGTGTGGTAGGTCATCCTTGGCGTTTTACAAATGAGAAAAGGCAGGTCAGGAGCTCCGCGGAAGAGCGCACAGGAGTTTAGTGGCGGAGTTAACACCTCCAGCTTCTACGGGCGCGGGCTGCAGAGGAACACCTGCCGGAGGGACTGTGATCTAACATCCTGCAGAGGAGAAACTTAAACCTGCAGGGTGGTTCCCGAGGGTTAGCGGACACTTCAAATCTGTGAAAGTTCTGCTCTGGTGGAATGTTTAATTCTTTGCAAGCCATTTCTCCCAAAATCAGCAGCCTGTTTATCCTGTTTCTCTTAGGCCCTAAGGTGACTTGTTCCTTCTTAGGACGAGATTCCCTCCCTAGAAATCTCCCACAAAACCTAGGGCCTAGCCCAGACCTTACGTTTAGAAGCAGCCAGAGCTGCCTCCACATCCAGAATTCTCTTAGCTTTTGTTACTGGTTCTCTTGCACTAACCTGTTTGGGCTACCATTTCCATGGGGCCGTACACGGTTACCTCTACAAAATACAGGTTCAAAAACTAGTCAGACTCCAGGCAGATCCAGACTCCCAGTTGGAGCTGCCCATTGCACCCCAGGCTCTACCTCACAGGATTCCACACTCCTCACCCTGCCCCAGTGCTGGAGATGGACCCTAGGGCCTTGTGCTGGTAAGCACACACTCTACCACTGAGCTACAGCTCGAGACCTAGTAGTAATTCATTGTGGTGACCCTTGTAATGCTCAATACCTTGTTCTCTCATTATTTCCCTGGCAGAGTCAATTCTGGCTCTTGTCTCCTCAAATTGCTCTTTCACTGAATCCAAACTGTTGCCAGGTATGGTGGCACATGCCTGTAATCCTAGCACTTGGGAGGCTGAGGCAGGAGGATCCTTGCAAGTTCAAGACCAGCCAGGCAAAGTGAGCTCAAGGCCAGCCTGAACTGCATAGTGAGACCCTGTCTCAAAAACACTACCACCAACAACAAAAAGTGGAGCTCTACTCTGACTACCACCTCTAGGAGGAGCCCCCAGAACCTGGTAGCAGCTGGGCATGCGTGCAAGCCCAGCTACTGGGGAGGTTGCAGCAGGAGGCTGAGACGTTGGAGGCCAGCCCGAGCAACGTTTAGAGAGATCCTGTCACAAGATGAAAATTAAAGTGTTATGGACGCAGCTTATTTATTTATTTATTTTTTGTCTTTTTTGAGACAGGGTCTCGCCATGCAGTTCAGGCTGCCTTGAGCTCACTTTATAGCCCAGGCTGGTCTTGAACTTGCAATGATCCTCCTACCTCAGCCTCCTGAGTGCTGGGATTACAGGCATGTGCCACCACGCCTGGCTCCCACATTTGTCATTTTGAGACAGAGTCTTACTGTGCAGTTCAGGCTGGCCTCGAGCTCGCAACTATCTTCCTGTCTCAGCCTACTGAGGGGTGGGATTACAGGCATGCAACACCACGCCTGGCCCCAGGTGGGATTTGAACTTGTGATCCTCCTGCCTCAGCCTCCCAAAGTGTTGGGATTACAAGCATGTATCACCATTCCTGGTGTGGTTTCTCTTAAAAAAAAAAGTTTTTAAAATTTACTCTACTAGAACATCTTACCTTCCCATTGTGCTTTTGTCCAGCTCTGTTTTGAAGTCTCACTGTGTATTTCAGCCTGGCCTCAAATTTATGGTGATCCTCCTGCCTCAGCTTCCAGGCTGGGATTACAGCTGTGTACCTCCTGGCCTGGCTAGTCTGGCTAACTTTCACTCACTATAAAGTCTGTTAAAATGTCACTTTCTAGCTGGGTGTGGTGGTTTGTGCCTGTCATCTCACCACTGAAGAGGCTGAAGCAGGAAGAATGCAAATTCCGGGTCAGCCTGGGGTACGAAGTGAGAGGATACCTCAAACAACAATCAACAAATGCAGGAATTTTTCCCTTATCTTCAAGGGATACATTCCAAGATGAATGTGCACCCCTGTAATTCCAGCACCCAAGAGGCAGGAAGATCGACACAAGTTTGAGGCCAGCCTGGGCTAGTGAATTGAAGACCATCGCAAAGTACATGAGACTCTGGTTCAGAAAAAAAAGGGATATATTCCAAGACCCACAGTGGATGGCTGAAACTGGATAGCACTGAGTTCTCTGAATATTTTTCCTATACATACATTTATATGATAAAGTTTAATTTATAGGCCAGGTGTAGTGGCGCATACCTATGATCCCACCACTCAGAAGGCTGAGGCAGGAGGATCACCACAGTTAGGGGGCCAGCCTGGGTTATGTGGTGAGTTGAAAACCTGCCTGGACACCCGATATTCTGAAGTAAGCTGGGTTGCTAAGAGGCTCCAGAGGTTAGGGGTATTCACTGCACTTTCAACTTCCACTGTGTTCATCTGGACATAACCCGGTGTAAGTACTATTCCCATCTGATCCCTGCCCCTCCCAGCTCCTCAGCCTCTGCCTCCTTGTGCCATGCTCAGGTCCCCACAGAGCAGGGTGGCACCAGCACTTTTTCTTTTCCCGGATTTTTCTTTTTGAATTTTAAAAATTATATTGGTATATTTTAGATAAATAACATTCATCACAGGGAATTTGTACCTGTACATGGTTTTTCTTGCCTTTGTCCCATCCCCCTCATTTATAAAAGCTTTGTTTCCATTTTTTTCTTGTCCCTTCCTTCCTTTCCCCCTTCACCTCCCTTGTTCCTTTGTTTTTTTTTGTCTTTTTGAGACAGGGTCTCGCTATGCAGTTCAGGCTGGCCTTGAGCGCACTTTGTAGCCCAGGCTGGTCTTGAACTCTCAACGATCCTCCTGCCTCAGCCTCCGGGGTGCTGGGACTACTGGTGCGCAGCACGCCCTGCAGAACTGTGCGGTATTTAACACGTCGGGTTTATCTCACTGAAGAGTGTGGTCTCAAACCCCGGACACCTCTGGAGAAACAGCAGCAGATGCGGGAAACAAACTGCCAGCCCCTCCTGCCTGCTGCTTTTCCTCTGTGCTTGCAGAGAATGTGGAACCGCGCTGTGACACAAGCACCACTCAGCCTACTCTGCAGCCTTCTTACCGAGGGCCCCATGCTAGGCTGCGGGTGTTCGGATACAGCCATCACCTGCTCTTTGGTGCTGTTCTCTTTGGCTGCCGACAGCACTGGAGGGGAGCCGTGGGCTGGGGGCTGCACAGGACGCTTGGTGCAGAGGTTCTGTGCTGCCTGCTTAGTATCCTAGGGACGGTGCACGTACCTTACCTCCCTGAAATGACTTAGTAATGTACTTTCCACACACGGAACTTTCTTTTGCTTTTTGAGAGGTATGTACTTAAGGCTGGTCTTGCACTTGTGGTGATCCTCCTGCCTTAGCCTCCCAGTTGCTGGGATTGGCTCACACGTGACTCCTTTTTTTTTTTTTTTTTTTTTTTTTTGGAGACAGGATCTCACTGTGCAGTTCAGGCTGGCCTGGAACTCACAGTGATCCTCCTGCCTCAGCCTCTTGAGTGCTGGTATTATAGGGATGTGCCACCATGCCACAGATCACCCATGTGATTTTTAAAGCATACTGTTCCTTCTTCTTGCTTTTGCTGTCTTCCACCGCCAGGAACTACTGCCCTTCTACCAGGCCACCCTGCCTAGGAGCCAGTCGATTATGGACTGAAACCTTTACAAACTGAGCTAAATAAACCTCCCCCCATTTAAAAAAAAATAAAGGTTAAAAAAAATAAAAAGCAAAGCTGTTATGCTCTATTGTATTCATTCAGAAAAATAAAGGAAAAAGTATGATGAAAGTATTTTACAATGGATAATCTATGTGAAGACATGAGATAGTTGGAAATAGCCTACAAGATGATAATTCAAATGAACACTGAAAATATTTTACATTAACTACCTTGAAATAAATGTTGGCCGGGGCTACAGCTCAGCGGCATAAGTGCTTGCCTGGCAAGCCTGAGGTCATGAGTTTGATTCCTGGTACAAAAAAAATAAGTGCTAAGTATATATGTATGTGCATTCAATGTATTTTCAACTTCCACCATGTTTATCTGGACATAACCCCAGTGGCACATGCCTGTAATCCCAGCACTTGGGAAGTCAAGGCCAGCCTGGGCCACATAGTGAGACCCTGCCTTAAAAAATAGAAAACAACAGAAAAATCATGAGGAAGAGGCAGTTGTATTTCTTAGGGAGCCAGAGTGCAAGGGATTAAGGGGTGACGAATGGACAAGAAATATAAAGCTTAGTCCTCAAATGTAACGGCTGTGCCATGAAGACAGAATAGTACTGTACCTGCTCCTTGACGGACTTCTGCAAATCCACACAGAACAATGTCTGTAAGCGCCCCATAACCGCTAGGACATCAGACTTTGCCATTCCGCTATCTTACTTAGTTCCAAGTATCAGATCTGTGTATTTTGCTTATCTCTATTTTACTTATCAAGGAAACTTGAGATTTAGAAATGTTAAAACTTCTACCAAGGACAACACAGCTCCGAGGAAGGAGTCAAAACAAACAAAAATGCTGCTGGGTGGAGTGGGGTTCGGCTGTCATCCTGGCTATTTGTGAGGCTGAGGCAGGAAGATCACAAGGTCAAGGGCAGCCTGGGCAGTGAGGCAGGCCCTACTGCAGCATTAAAAAGGGTTGCCGATGGAGCTCAGTGGTAGAGTGGCCCCGGGTTCAAACTCCAGCACAGGAAAGGAAGGAAGGAGGGAAGGAAAAGAGAGACCCTCTCAACCTTGGGAGCAAGACGCCACCTCGGTCCCGCGGCAGACACAGGATCGTCCAGCACTGTCCAAGTGTCTGCGGTGCCCGGGATCCTGATGAAGCTCTGAACGCCGCTCTGTCCTTCCGTTCTCCACAGGCCTCCCCCTCCCCCCCAGAGCTCAGGAACAGCAGCCTCCCGAGCTCCCAGCCCAGTGTCCTGGATCCTCTGGAGGACTGGAGAAGACGCGAGCAAAGGGACTCCTAGCCCCAAGGAAACGCCTCTCCCACGGGCCTCCCTCCGCCATTTCACCCAATTGGAACTGAGCCCCACTCTCCTTACTAGTGTGGAGCAGCCCCCTCGCCCCCGGCTTGTCGCATCTTGGTCTCTCTCTGGCCCCATCCCTCTTCCAGTCACCACCCACGACACGGTGGACTTGCGCACCTTGGGCTGCTGGGACTGGGCTCGGCTCCTTCCGCTCGCACTGCTCTGCCAGCCAGCCGTTGCTGTGGCGCCTACTTTTTACCCCCTCTACTTCCTGCCCATCCTAGGACTCAACCCCAAAGCTACCGGGTCAGTACTTGGGAGCCAATTTCTTTCTTTTTTTGTGTACTGGGAATCAAACTCAGGACCTCGTGCACGCCAGGCAGGTGCTGTGCTGCTGACCTATACCTCTGGCCCTAAATTCCTTATCTTAAAACTAATACAGTGACAGAACTTGTCTTTACACCAGCTGTGCCTTAGGATAACAACTTTGAGAGGAAGGACAGAGAGGAGGGGGGGAGAATGGGGTGGACACATAAATAAAACAAGCCATGAGAGAACAGATGTTGGTGTTCATTACAGTATTGTACAGTTTCTGACTGAAATTTTCAAATATACACAAAATCAAGCAACACACAAGGCCCCGGGTTTGACCTCTAGCACTATAAAAACCAACCAAGGAAACAAAACACACACAAAGATCAAGCAGGGCTGGAGATACAGCTCCGTGCTGGAGTACGCTCAGCGGGTCCGAGGCTCTGGGTTCAATCCCTAGCACCACCCAAGTACTGAAGGCTGCAGCTCCCTGAACTGCAGGCCTTCCACAGTGCCTCCTCTCTGCCGTGACCAAGGGTCCTCCCGGCGCCTGTCTGCCGAGCCTAGCTGGGTCCACGGCAGCCTCTTAAAGGGTGCTGAAGGTAAATGAGTGGCACTGCTGACTATGAGCTAGCATCTCCTCAGATAATCTTCACAACCCAGGAGCGCGGAAGCTGCTCCAGGAGCCTGAAGAACGAAGGGCACAGGCTCTCCCAGCTGCCACCAGCGCCGGCCCTGTTACCTTGGGAGCCGCCCACGGCTCTGAGGGCCCCCATTTCCACACTGGAGCTGAACTACACTCCTGCCCTGAGCCCATCCTGAGACTCTCACACACACAGCACACACAAACACACACGCAGAGGCTGCTGTCGGGAACTTTAATAAGACACAGCCGATGACTCTTGCTCCTCATGGTCGGAAGAGGAAGGGCATCAAATCTGTAAGACAATGAAAAAGTTCAAAGGAACTTGTACTTCGCAACCGCTGTCCCCATGCCTGGAACCCTCTCTTCTAGCGGGCCGTTTCCTTCTCCCCCCTGGACGCTCACACACCTCTCCTGGGGCTCCCTGAACAGCACCAGGAGAAAGAGAAAGTCGCCTTTGCATGTGACGCCTCTCGCGGGCCAGCAGTGGGGCTCCCCAGCCCCTGGCACATCAAGGGTCATGCCACCGGGAGTGGTCTCGTCTCCACCAGGTATCACCAGGGGGCTCAGACCACTGACCACTGCCTTCACCCCGCTTCCTACAGAAGATGCTCCCAGAGCGGGACTCGGCTCATAGGCTTAGCTCAGGGCCCTCAGGTCCCCCCTCGGGCCCACTGGTGACAAGGCATCACACCTGGCTGGCTCATGCACTGCTGGATACTCTCCAGCTGAGTGGAAACCAAGGCGCGGGCCTCCTCCGCAAAGCGGCGGCGTCCCTCCTCAGTCAACTTCCAGAGGCAGGATCGAGGTCGGGGGCTGGCCTCCCCCTGCATACTGACCGGCACTTTCTGAAAGCTGTCGCGGAAACAGAGATTGTGACGGATAGTATTCTTCCAGCCTTCTGGAGCCGTCCGGAAAAAGGGGAAGTGCCATCTGCGGGCAGGGAGGAAAGGTAAGGCAAGGCAAGGTTTCGAGGCAGAAGGCCCCACTCCCGTGCCAGCTCTCCCCAGGGGCCAGGAGCCCCAGACCTTCTCTCAAGGTTGAAAGTGCCAAGTCAGGCTGGCTGCTCTTTGCTGACTGCGCACACGGCACTCTCTGCACCACGCACTGCTTATGAGCGCCCCTCTTCCAATGCTGGGGATTGAACCCAGGGCCTTTGCACTGAGCAATGTCCCCAGCCATTTTTTTTTTTTTGTCTTTTTGAAACGGTCTCGCTATGCAATTCAGGCTGACCTTGAGCTCACTTTGTAGCCCAGGCTGGCCTTGAACTCACAATGATCCTCCTGTCTCAGCCTCCCAAGTGCTGGGATTACAGGCGTGCACCACCACGCCTGGCTTCCTAGCCTCTTTTTTAAAATGTAATTTTCTTTTCTTTTCCGAGGCAGGATCATGCTATGCAGTTCAACCTGGCCTTGAACTCGCAATGATCCTCCTGCCTCAGCCTCCCAAGTGCTGGGATTACAGGCGTGCACCACCATGCCCGGCCTTGTAATTTTATTTTTTAATTTTGAGACAGAGTCTTACTAAATTGCCCAGGCTGGGCTCGAATTTGTAATCATTCAGCTTCAGCCTCTCAGTGCTGGAATTAAATGCCTGCCCACATCCAGTTGTTAAAACCATTTTTTTTTTTTTGGTCTCTTTGAGATAGGGTCTCGCCATGCAGTTCAGGTTGGCCTTGGGCTCATTTCGTAGCCCAGGCTGGCCTCGAACTCACAGCAATCCTCCTGCCTCAGCCTCTCCAAGTGCTGGGATTACAGGTGTGCACCACCGCGCCCAGCTAACTCTTCTTTTTAAAGCCCACCTCCCTGCTCTCAGCCCTAGGTTCATTTTCCTCCTCTGCCCTCAAGGCTCAGGACTTGGACCACGGCAGAAACAAAACAGAATCAGGCCTCTGGTCAAGGAGCCATATCACTGGAGGATGAATAATCTGAGACATTAGGCTCCTCTCTCCACTCCAGTCCTGGGAAAGGGTCCTGTCAGAGCTCAGTACAGCACTGGGGGTAACTTCTGTGGTACAGTGCACACTCAGCATGTGTGAGGCCTGGGCTCAGTCCAGAGCACGCATGCGTGAGCGTGCTGACACCCCCCACACACACACTGAATGCCGGCCGCTTCTTGACCAGGCTCCCTTGGCCCCTTGGGGTACAGGGAGCTGTGGCAGGTAGCACTTCCCTAGAAGTGGGTGGGACACTGAGGTGGAGCGAAAGGAAGTGTTATTGGCCCGAGGGCATCTGTGACTTCATGGAGGGATCCTGTTTATAGGTGGGGAGGCACACAGTGGCCTGGGAGGATGCTCATCCTCAGCCCCAGATGGAGAAACTGAGTCACAGCCCAGGGCCGGGGCAGACTGGAAGGCTTCAGGCCAGGGCCCGGACCGCTTCCCACCGCCCTCCTCACAGGGCCCCGGCACATACCGAGTGAAACTGTAGATCTGCTGCACGTTGAGGCCAGAGGGGGGACTGTTGCTTAGTGCCAGGGCAATTAGGTGGAAGTAATTGAGAGGGGGCCGGGACCAGAGCCTCCCCTCCAGGCTGACGGTTTGTTGCAGCCTCCGACTCTGGAGGGAGGCCCTTGTGAGAGGGGGCAGGAGAGCCACAGAGGAGCTGTCATCCTGGTCCTCGGCCTCCTCCTCTTCTGTGAGCTAGAGGAGCAGAGTAGGAACTTGTCCTGACTCGGCGGCCTCCACTCCAGGGTGCAGCAGCTGAAGGGGGGTGGTGCAGGGCCGCATGGCCTTCTCCCCAACCCAAGGGGCCTGCTCACTTTAGCACACGTTAACCTTCAGCTGTCCCTAGGAAATCCCAACACTGATGCTTCGCTCCTGGGCCCACCCTGCCTACTGCCCAGGCTGTATCCATACCTCCCTGTCACCAGGGGAAGAGGCGAACCGCTTCCGCTTCTCGGGGGGCGGCTGCTCACTGCAGGAAGGCAGCGGTGATTCCACCCCGGTGCCCTCTGAGCTGCTGGCATCTTGCTCTTCTAGGGATGGCGGAGGGCAGGAAGGCTTGCTTGTCACATCTGCAGTCCTCGTGGGGTCTCTGACTTCCAGCTTGCCCGGAGGGTACACGATGTTGGGGTTCACCCACATCCACAGGTTGGGCTCAATCTCTGGAGCTGTGTGGAGCAGAAGGAGATAATGCCACGCCTCACTGTCTTTGGGCGTCCCCGGGACAGCCCAGGACACACAGCCGTGTCAGAGGCTCCCTCACTACTCACCATCCCCGTCAGGGTTGGGCTTCCTTTTCAGAGGCAATACAGGTGGATGAACTATTCGGAGTCTATATTTGGCAACTGGTGAAAAGATAAAAAGAGTTACAATATTTTAGAATTTCCATTGAGATCCTGGGCCTTGAAGGTGTCTCAGGAAAAGCTTGTGGAATCTATTCTACCAGTCTTCCTTTCATCTCTCTGCCCTTCTCATTCTTCTCTCCATTTTTTTTTCCTTCTTTTTAAGACCGAGTCTTGCTGTGCAGTCCAGGCTGGCCTTGAACTCATGGTGATCCTTCTGCATCAGCCTCCTAAGTGGTGAGATTACAGGTGCTCACCACCACACCTGGCCTCCTCTGCATTCCTTTCTTCTCATTTATATACTCGGTCCCTGTACAAGCTCATGTGTGCCTGTAGCTTCAGTCACCATCTATAAATTCAGGAGTTGCAAATCTTTACCTCCAGCCTGGGTTTCTTGTCTAGTCCTTATATGGAACTGCCTGGCCAGGCATGGTAGTGCATGCCTGTAATGCAATCACTCAGGAGGCTGAGGCAGGAGGCTCAAAGCCAGCTGGGCTACAAAGCGAGTTCAAGCCAGCCTGAACTGCACAGTGCATCTCAAAAAGACAAAACAAAGAGAGAGAGAGATAACATAAAAAACAATGCAGTATCAATATACAAATGATTAACCTGGGTGTGGTGGTGCAGGCCTGTAATCCCAACACTCAGGAGGCTGAGGCAGGAGGATTGTTGCAAGTTCAAGACCAGCCTGGGCTACCTAGTGAGTTCAAGCCCAGCCTGAATTACAGTCTCCAAAAAAAAAATTTAAAAATTAAAAAGTATATATATCTAATCATATATATATATGATTAGATCCAAGAAGAATATACACAGCAACTTTGAAGATAAGAGAACATACTAATCAATACTGTTCCTCTGTGCAAGCATTAAAACTGGAAATTAACTTTTTAAAAGGTCCTGGTTATAATAGCAAGGAAAATTAAAGGTATCTAGGAGTTAACTCATGAAAGAATGGACTATACCTTTATGGGGAGAAAAGGAATCACTTTTTTGGAACATAAAGGACTAGAAATAGGGCTGGGAATGTACCTCAGTGGTAGTGTTTGCTTAGCATCCACAAGGCCATGGGTTCAATCCCCAGCACCATGAATCTGCACACACCTGTGATCCTAGCCCTTGGGAGGCTGAGGCAGGGGGCTCACCTTGAGTTCAAGGACAGCCTGGGCTACAAAGTGAGTTTAAGGACAGCTTGACCTACATAGAAAGACCCTGTCTCAAAACAAAACAAAACATGGCAAAGTTCTCAGTTCTCTAGTAGAGCACCTACAAAATCAGTAAGTCAACTTAATGAGTGGGCAAAGCTGTGAACAGCATTCACAAGGATGGGATCCCTGAATGGCTAGCAAGATCCTTAGCCTTATTAGTAATAAGAAAAATGCAGTAAAATAACGGATAGAGATAACACTTTTTTGAGATAACACTTTACACCAAACTGACAGTTATAAAAAGAGACAATCTGAGGTACTGACAAAGTACGCAGGGAAAAAGAATCCAGAATACCAACAAGTGCAGCCCTGGAGAAGAGCAGTCTCCTGAGGAGCAGTGAGGCCCAGGTACAGCCCTTACCTGCTGTGGGGTGTTGTATTCACTCTCTATGGAAACACATAGCCTGACCCAGCTGGTTACTATTAGCAAACCCTCAGCTACTCACTCCCCTATCTCCTGGCTTACTCTGCCTCTAACCTTGCTCCTGCCTTAAATCTTGGCCACTTAAAAGCTTCTCCCAGGCTTTGCCTCCCACCCTACTTCATGTTTTATTTTTGTAGTGTTGGGGATCAAACCCAGGGCCTCGAACACGGTAGGCAAGCGCTGTACCACCAAGCTACACCCTCAGCCCCTACTTTTCTTTTTTTTTTATGAGACAGAGGTTAGGCAGGTGGCTCAGGAGCAGAGGACTGGGAAGCCCTGGGTTTGATCCCCAGTACGGGGGAAAAAAAGGGGAAACAAAGAGGGGGACAGGGTCTCCCTATGTTGTCCACGATGACCCTACACTCCTGGGCTCAGGGGATCCTCGCCCGGCTCCTGAGTAGCTGGGGCCACACTCCTTTTACACAGCACCTCGCAGTCCTGTCCTAAGCCAGTACTGCAGCCTCTGCGCCCCATCCGAGCACCATAGCCAAACAAGCGGCTCGCGCCCCTGAGCCCCCGAGCCCCACCGGCACTGCCAATCTGCGGACTTGAGCCCTCAGAGCGCCTCTCCTGTGGCGTCAGAGCGCTATGTCGCTGAGGACGATTAATCACAGTTGTGGTTTGGCCAAACAAGTGCTCCAAAGCCACAGAGGGGCCGGGGGCTTGACCGTGTGTGCCAGGCAGACAGCAAAATGTTTGAGAAACAGGTTCCGAGTTAGTTGAAGAAGAGGACATCAAGTGACTGAGAGCCACAAAAAGTGACAGGATCAGTGGGTTGGTCTCAGCGGGATCAAAGGACAGTGCCTGTGCACGTCTATCTGCCAGGGGCTTCTCAAAGGCATTGTCTCCAAAACGCTCTCATTTCCTGCCATTCATTTTCCTGGGTCTATTGGAGCATTCTCAACAACATTCTAGCATGTTGTAACAAACAAAACAAACATGGTAATGCTCCCATTTTACAAAACACAAGAATTTGTCCCTACTTTCTGTGCCAGGCCACTATTCATGTTTTTGCTTCTCCTTGAAGCAAAACTCCTGGAAAGAATTGCCTATATATAAATATATATATATATTTTTTGGTACCAGGAATTGAACTCAGGACCTTGCACTTGCCGGGCAGGTGCTGTGCAACTGAGCTATATCCCCGGCACAGAACTGGCTATAATTTCGGTGTCTGCTTCTCTTTCTTTTTGAGGCAGGGTCTCCCTACAGCACCAGGCTGACATCAAACTCCTCTGGGTGGTCCACTGTGCCCAGCTTTCCTCCTTTTTTCTTTTTTTTCTTTTTGTCGTTTTGAGACAGGGTCTCATATGCAGTTCAGGCTGGTCTTGAACTTGAAATGATCCTCCTGCCTCAGCCTTTCCAGTGCGGGGATTATAGGCATGTGCCTCCACGCTCGGCTCCTCCTTTTTTCTTAAGATAAGAGTCTCACTATATAGTGCAGGCTGGCTTTAAACCCACTTATGTAGCCCAGGTTGGCCTCAAATGCAGGGTGGATCCTCCCGGCTCAGCCTCACTGAGTGCTGGGATTACAGGCATGTGCCACCATGCCCGGCCGCACGCCCAGCCCCTCCTTTCTTAACCACTCTCCAGAAAGGACTTCAGCGAGGTCACTCCTCCAAAACCACTCTTATCAAAGATGCCGCTGACTCCCATGCTGCCCAATGTAACAGTCTTTCACAGATCTCTCCTCTCTTTTGAGACCTGGCCTCCAACTATATATAGCAAAGGCTGGCCTTGATCCTCCTGCCTCAGCTTGCCAAGTGCTGGGATTATGGGCCCGGCCACCTCACCTGGCTTCTCCCTCCCTGAAACACTTTCTTCCCTGGGTTTCTAGGACGCCAGAGTCCACCGTTCTGATTTTCAGTGGTCTTCTGGGTAGGCCCAGGCAGTGTTTCTCTCCTCCCCAAGTCCTTGTAGTGCAAGGCCATAGGACACATCCTTGGTCTTTCTCTCGGCTCCTTAAATCCCACCCCTAAACTGGGCGTGGTGGCGCACGGCTGTACCCCAGCACCAGCACTCAAGGCCAGCCTGGACTACTGAGTGAGACCCTGTTTACAGAACAAACCACCAAAAACTCACTCCGATACCAGTGACTCTCAAAACTGACATCCACAGCCCACACTTCTCTCCAAAACGTCAGGCTCCTATATCTGACATCTGTATCCCCTGCAAGTCAGCAAGTCCAGAGAATTTCTGATCTTTCTCCCTAAACCTGGTCTTGAATGACACCTTCCCATCTCAGTACAAGCACCAGGGATTTAGCTCAGTGGCACAGCACCTGCCTGGCAAGCACAAGGTCCTGAGTTTGAGTTCTGGTACCAAAAAAAAAAAAAACAAAAACCATCTCAGTACAAATCTATCCCTCCAGTCAGCCCAAAATTTCAGGAGTCAGCTGCCAATTTCTTTTTTGTTGTTGTTTCTTCCCTTGAGATGAGGTCTTGCAATGTTTTCCAGGCTAACTCTGGACTCCTGGGCCCACCTAACCCTCCTGCCTCAGCTTCCTGGGTAGTTGGGACCAAGAGATGGTCCATTGCCCTTTTTTTTTTTTGGTTTTTTTTTTTCCCAGTACCAAGAATCAAACTCATGACCTTGCCAGGCAGGCACTTTGCCGCTGAGCTAAATCCCCAGCCCTCAATGGGCCTCTTAAGAGTTGTTGGAGCTGAGTGTGACGTTGCACACCTGTAATTCCAGCACTCGAGAACCTAAGGCAGGAGGATCCGCTGTGAGTTCCAAGCTAGCCTGAACTACACAGTGAGACCCCGTCTCAAAAAAAGAGTTGTTGTTGGAGCTGGAGATTTAGCTCAGTGGCACAGCGCCTGCTTGGCAAGCACAAGGTCATGAGTTCGATTCCTGGTACCGGAAGAAAAACAAAACAAACAAACAAGAAACAAAAACAAAACAAAACAAGAGTTGTTGGGAATTTTGTTTTTTAGTGCTGGGATATAACCCAGGGCCTCACACGCAGGGCAAGTGCTGGAATGTTCAGCTACATCCCCAGCCCCCAATTTTTTTTGTTTGTTCTTATACCGCAAATCTAATTCATCAGCAAATCCAGCCAGGCTGGTTACCTTCTCAGTGCCTGTCTTTACCACCTAGGTCCAGCCTACCTACCAGCATCCGTGGTCTCCATTACTACCATAACCTCTTTTTTTTTTTTTTTTTCCAGTGAAGAGAGGGATCAAAACCAGGGCCTTGACATGCTAGACAAGCATTCTATCACTGAGCTGCACCCCCTAGCCCAACGACCTCTTGAGAAACTGAGC